TCTTAGCAAAATGAAACTATTGATACTGCAATTATGTGTTTTTATTCACTTTAAAAATTTGCTTGCCTATACCTAATCTGAGAACAAATCTACAGAATTCTTGTTGTAAATGTGCCCCAGATTCATAACGGACTGGGCCATTTATGACGTACAGCTTGCACATGCATGTCTTTTTATTGGGTATTTAAAGGCCGACTTTTGTGCATTTGACCCTCTTATGCTTTGTTATGGTTGTTATATGGTCATAGTATTTAGCTGATTCTCAAGGATCAACATTATGAATATATTTGAAAAGTGATACTGATTGGTATAAGCAGCCACCTGGTTCTGTGCGGCAAGAGACACATCCTCATAAAACATTGTCGCAGAGAGAGAGAGAAATGGGGTTTGCGGTCAACTCGACACAAACTAGGTCATTTCGAGACTACATACGGTTCAATTTTATTTTAATAATTCGCTTGCAAGTAGGGGTCTTTAGCAGTGGGAGGAAACCGTACAACCAGGGAATCGACTGAATGACTGACCTTATGATACAGTGTGCAAGTACTAACCATTCGGCCAATCAACCCCCCCCCCCCCACTGTAGGCCTATACAGATCAATACTGGGTATCAGAAAGTATGTGTTTGTTTCCCTATATCATATAGAGTCTATCTTTATAATAGTATTCTACAGCCTTCTATAGAATCTCTCAAAATTCTATCGGAACCAACACTTTTTCTAAAGGAGTTTATCAGGGATGTGTTGTTTTGTTGAAAATCCAAAATCACTCACCATTATTTTAACAATTTCTTCTGTTGTTTATTTGTGATGCTGTTGTGTGACTGAATAATGATTGTTTATTATAAAAACACAACAGGGGATTGCTGATCAGTCTCTTCTACAACTACAAGTCATAGAAAATAGGTACTCATTTAGTATTAGTAAACAGATCTTCGGTGAAGTACAAAGTGCCGTTAGCTTCCGGTAACAGGTTGTATACATGATATAGTCCCGGATCTCTCCAACCCGAATAGTTTACAAAAATATTATTTCATTTGAAATTCACTTCATTCAGTAAAAAGTTGATATCATCCGTAATATCTCCTCTGATATTTGAGAAACCCACATGTTCACTTTATTTGAATGTAGTTGCCATTGCTAAGAATATATGTCGTATTTTAAAAGTTTCTCAATGGACATTAAACGACATGTAATCCCCCAATCAAGTCAAACAGGAACGACCCCACTGCCTGTTAAACATGTTTATCTCCTAATTATCCAAGTCACTTTAAAGCTATATCACCCCAGATATTTTAAAGCTATATTACCCCAGATACTTATACCCATACTTTTTCTCGACTCTTTGATGGAAATGGGAGGTCATACACCGATACACGGCCACTTTTCAAAAGTGGCCGTGTATCAGTTGAAAAGGGACAAAAATAACAAAATCATGATTTACATATTTATTTGAACATCTACAACCCGTTTTAAACATGTTATGGTCAAAGAGTCATCATTTTCAACTGTCTCAGCACTTTTCAAATGTGCGTCACTCTCAGTCATATTCTTACATTTTGTCTCACATTTCTTTACATTTTGATATCTAGTCGCACTTTCACATTTTGTCGCACTTTCACATTTTGTCGCGGCTTATGCTCATCCGCAGCACATAATCCAAATATTTTACTATTATAAATTAATCTCTTGGCTTTCAACACTAAAAACTTTCACATTTTGTCGCGGTTTATGCTCATCCGCAGCACGTAATCCAAATATATTACTAGTATAAATTAATCCATTGGCATTTTCTACACTACAAACTTGAGAACTCTACAATTCCAACTCGTCTTCATTTAATGGCTGTTCTTGTTTTTGTCTGTCGGTGGATGTCAATACCTCGCGAAGTTAATGAATTGATCTGTGCGGAAATTAGCAAATGTACCTTGCTTATCAAAAAAGTTAAAATCCAATCTTTTGTACTGATCTCGAAGTGTCACCATATTATGCAATTATTCTTACATTTTGTCTCACATTTTGATATCTAGTCGCACTTTCACATTTTGTCGCACTTTCACATTTTGTCGCGGCTTATGTTCATCCGCAGCACATAATCCAAATATTTTACTATTATAAATTAATCTCTTGGCTTTCAACACTAAAAACTTTCACATTTTGTCGCGGTTTATGCTCATCCGCAGCACGTAATCCAAATATATTACTAGTATAAATTAATCCATTGGCATTTTCTACACTACAAACTTGAGAACTCTACAATTCCAACTCGTCTTCATTTAATGGCTGTTCTTGTTTTTGTCTGTCGGTGGATGTCAATACCTCGCGAAGTTAATGAATTGCTTATCAAAAAAGTTAAAATCCAATCTTTTGTACTGATCTCGAAGTGTCACCATATTATGCAATTAGTATTTTTCCTCGTGTTTGGCTGAATTTGACTCATCTGCATGGCGTTAATTTCTTGTTCTGTGAAGGATCGGGATTCTAAATCTTCGCGATCATTGACATCTCTTGCAGAACTGATATTCTCGGTCTTAGAAATATATATCTGTGACATTATAAAGTAGGATTCTTCGACGAATTCCCGCATTCATTTCTGCCATCCACTACAATCGACGCAGCCAGGATGTTGGCAAAACAACAAGAAATGGCTATTGTACAAAATGATTGGATGACGTTTGCTTTTCTCAACCAATCAATATCCCTGTTACGAACATTTTCCCTGACCTGATTTAAACCGTGAAATGCACGTGTGGTGTACTGACATCATTTACCTGAGTAGAAATAAGCGTTTGCGATGAGATAATTGGGGGGCTCTGAATGGGAAACTTTGATAAATTTGTGAAATGAAAAATACTTTTGAAATTGGGAAAAATATACCGTCTCTTTTTTGAGTGGGGCTCAAGCCACTTTAAAGCTATATTACCCAAGATACTTTAAAGCTATATTATTTCAGCTACTTTAAAGCTATATTACCTTAGATCATTTAAAACTATACTACCCTAGATCATTTAAAGCTATATTACATGTACCTTAGATACTTTAAAGCTATATTACCCTAGATACTTTAAAGCTATACTACCTTAGATCCTTTAAAGATATACTACCTTAGATCCTTTAAAGATATACTACCTTAGATCCTTAGATCCTTTAAAGATATACTACCTTAGATCCTTTAAAGATATGTAGTTTAAGGATATATCACCTTACATCCTAGATTACCCTAGCTACTTTAAATCTATATTACCTTATGTCCTTTAAATCTATATTACCATAGATACTTTAAATCTATATTACCATAGATACTTTAAATCTATATTACCATAGCTACTTTAAAGCTATATTACCCAAACCACTTTAAATCTATATCACCATAGCATGTTGCATGCTCTTATGATGTCATAAGTGTCCAAATAAAAAAAATTTAATGTAAAAAAAATAATTTTGTTTTTTTAAATATTTTATTCAATTATAGATTTAAAAAATATATCAAAATACTGTAAGACAAACATCTTTAACAGAAATACATCAAAATACTATAAGACAAGTATCTTCAACAGAAAATACATCAAAATACTGTAAGACAAACTTTTTCAACAGAAATAAAATAAAACATAGTTAAACATCCTGATCCTCTCTAATGGAGACGAGACAGCGGTCTTACATCCTACTCTCATTTCAAATTTTAACTGGTGACATTTTTCTTGTTAATCTGGGTCCTGTTTCACGAAATTTTAACAAAGATAAAATCCAAATTTTAGTAATTTGATTGGATAATATTAAATTGATTTTAGTGCTTAGCCAATCAAAATTGAAGTATCTACTAAAATTTGGATTTTATCTTTAGTTAAAATTTCGTGAAACAGGGCCCTGGATTTTAAAATCAGGCTGAAACTCTAAAAGATGAAAGCATGAAAGAAATTAGGTTTAATGTCCACTCAACACAGATTAGGTCATTTTGCAAAAAATATAGGGTCTTTAGCTGTGTCCTTTTTTACATTTTCGACTTGTGTTGATACTTTTTGATATCAAAAAAGACTCGTAGGAGATTTACATATTTACATTTCAATGTGGGCGTATCAAAAGGTACAAAACTCGACCGCATGATTAATTTCTTGAACAAAATGCTCATATATCAGCTCTGTCATATACTCTCTACACCCTGGCTACCAATAAAATATTGTTACTTGTGTTTAAATACCTGAATATATTGGCCCCACTCTATCTTTCACAGCTTCTTGAATACTATAAACCTACCAGACATCTGTGATACTCTCCTGACACATCATTCTATGTACATAAACACCTTTATAATTTATCATCATATGGTAACCTGTCATTCTATATACAGGCCTTCCACTATTTATCATCATATGGTAACAGGTCATTCTATGTACATGCACCATTGTTATGGAATAAATTAATAATGTCACTGCTATTGCTACTTTTAAAACTAAAGAAATATTTATATAAAAAGACTTTTACACAGTGACCCAGTTATCCTTCCATATAGAACTATTTTAATTTCTAAGTAAATCTCAATTTTATTTAAAATATCAAATATGCTCTTTTTATTATGTAAATATAATATTGTCTTGTTATATAATATGTCTTTGTAAAGTGAACATTATGTGGCAGATTTGTGCTATGGAAAAGTGTAATAAAAACAATAATATAGTCTATACAATTCCATAGCCAACTTTCTGGTCACATAGAGAGAGAGAGAAATGGGGTTTAACGTCCACTCGACACAAACTAGGTCATTTCGGGACTAACATATGGTTTAATTTTATTTCAATATTTCGCTTGCGCGTAGGGGTCTTTAGCAGTGGGAGGAAACCGGAGGACCCGGAGAAAACCCACGAGGTTGGACAGGCGACCCTACTCCTTGCCACGTACAACCGGGGATTCGAAACCACGCCAGTCTACTCAATGACAGACTTTATGATACAGCGCGCGCACGCTAACCATTCAGCCATCCAACCCCCCTTCTGGTCACATTTATAAGGTTTTGTCTCCAGTACGTGTTCATATTTTGGCCTGTAGATCACTACTAAAGGTGATTGGTTCACTACAACTATCACAATTATAAGGTTTTTCATGAGTATGAATTCTCATGTGGTTCTGTAGACCAACATTTCGAGTTCTCGTATGTTTTCACAGACTAGTACCGGTAGTAAATGTTTAACTACAAACGATCACATTTATAAGTTTATTTCTCTTGTATGAATTCTCATGTGGTTCTGTAGACCAACATTCCGACTAAATGATTCACCACAAACATCACATTTATTCATTTCTTCTTCAGTATGAATTCTCATGTGGTTCTGTAGACCAACATTCCGACTAAATGATTCACCACAAACATCACATTTATAAGGTGTTTCTCTTGTATGAAGTTTCATGTGCTTTTGTAGCGTATTTTGATCAGTAAATGATTTACCACAAATATCACATTTAAAAGGTCTTTCTTTATGAATTCTCACATGGTGCTGTAGATTACAATTCAGACTAAATGATTTACTACAAACATCACATTTATAAGGTTTTTCACCTGTATGTATTCTCATGTGTCGCTGCAGACCAGTACTATCAGTAAATGATTTACTACAAACATCACATTTATAAGGTCTTTCTCCTGTATGAATTCTCCTATGCTTATGTACGGTACTTCGATCCGTAAATGATTTACTACAAACATCACATTTATAAGGTTTTTCACCAGTATGATTTCTGACATGGGTCTGTAGATGTACTTTCTGACTAAATGATTTATTACAAACATCACATTTATAAGGTCTTTCTCCTGTATGAATTCTCATGTGTATCTTTAGCTTACCATTTTGACTGAATGATTTACTACAAACATCACATTTATGACGTCTTTCTCCTGTTTGCTCTTTCTGACTAACATGTTCTTCACAGTGTTTCTCTAAATCAGTTTCTAAATTAAATTCCTCATCACACAAATTACACTGATAAACAGTTTCAATATGTTCAGTTTTCTCTTCTTTAACATGACAATATTCATCTACATCATCAGTTTTCTCTTCTTTAATATGACAATATTCATCTATATTATCAGTTGGAGCTTCTTTAACATGACAATATCCATCTACATCATCAGTTTTCTCTTCTTCAAAATGAACATGACAATATTCATCTACATCATCAGTTTTCTCATCTTTAACATGCATCTTATTGTGTTTTTTTAAATCATCATATTGTTGGAAAATCTCATCACATACAATACACTGGTGGAAAGTTATAACATTATTAGTTTCCTGTAATATATAAAAGTTATAACATCATTAGTTTCCTGTAATATACAAATTAGACAAACTCGGGGGGGGGGGGGGGGGCTGAATGATTAGCTGTATCATAAAGTGTGTCATTGAGTCAACTAGGTCTGTATCGATATATTGATTCACCAATATGTATCGATACGTTCCAGCGATATTTATATCGATACATAATATCGCCGTATCGGTGAAAAAATTCTTCAGTTAAGAAAGACCAGGAAACCCACGTGGTGAAAGAAGACGATCTCGGCATGGTTTGCCAATCGAGTGTCTTCCAGGCTCTGTGTGAATTGCAGATACAGGTACATATTAAAATAATAACTGGATCATACATTGATGGATTCACTGACCAGTTGTTAGGTAAATTTAAATCTTCACTGAATATAATAATTCATAATATATTTTCCTGATAGAATTCCAATGACAGGTGACACATCGCTTGGAATTAGGTCAATAAACCATTTCTAAACAGCGCTTACCGTTATTATTTTTTTTTTATTTTATACACATTCTGACAAAGGCTTTATTTTAAAAATATTGTTTTTATTGAAGGCTATATCATAATCGTACGGAATTTTGATTTTAAAGCAATTTCAAGTATGGTTGTCACATGACAATTGTGCTGTTTATCTATCAATTGATGAATGAATAAAAACTTTTGCCAATTTATGTGACTAGTTACCTGATCGACAAAGACTACAATTTGTGTTATGGTGCCGTATCAGCTTATTTTAGCTACGTCATTTTCTGATACTGGCAATAGATGAAAAATGCTAATATTTTGGATCATCGACTTATGAAATGCGAACGTTTCATCGAATAAACGAAAACAGTAATTAATTTATTCTGGAATATTAGGGACGTGAACTTCAAGATTTTATATGAATTAAATATGGAAAATTTTCAAAAGGTGTATCCGTCGTTATTTTTGTAGTAATCACATACATTAAAATACGACAGTCTCCACAACAAATTTCCAAGAATTATTTTTGTTGAAGTCTAGTTATATTAAAGGGGATGGAGCTAATAATTAACCCATATCCTACGGGTTCTCAACTGACCCAATTCCGGCCGGTTCGTTTCAAAATGAATTAAGAACCCTGATGCTTACCCATCTCAAACATCTTGAAACAGAATGTAGTTTGAGATTATTTTGGGCATAATTCGTGATGTCATCATATCGTGATACGTATCGCGTATCGGTTTGCCGTATCATCAATACGTATCATAAATGAACTTTATCGACACAGCCCTTGAGTCAACTAGCGTGGTTTCGATTCCTCGGTTGTACGTGACAAGGAGTAGGGTCATCTGTCCAACCTTGTGGGTTTTCTCCGGGTCCTTCGGTTTCCTCCCACTGCTAAAGACCCCTACACGCAAGCGAATTATTGAAATAAAAAAATTAAACCATATGTTAGTCCCGAAATCACCTGGTCCGATGTAGAGAGTGGAGTACTTCAGGGAAGCGTACCAGGATCAATCCTATTCCTGATCTACATAAATAATATACAGAACAATTTGCTGACGACACAAAAATTATATGGTCAAAGTGGATCTTTTGAAGAATCAAACACCCTTTCCATTGAACACAATACGAGGCCAGTGACATTGGTTGGGCACACACGAGGAGATTGGCAGGGCGTCCAACCAATGTCACTTGATTTTATGGGAGCCTCACCAATCATGTCGTTATATATGAGGCGCCCCTCAAATGGACGCAATACGAAGCCAACGACTAACGTGCCCATATAAGTATGGGTGCTCTATAAAGCCAAGTGACTTTGATTGGGCGCCCACTACGAACACATCGACGCCCCCTGAAGCCCCATTAGGCCTGGAGTTGTCAACCAACTCCATTTTAACCTAGAGAAATATAAGTTGTTACATTTTTGAAACAATAAGACGGAGAAGAAGTAGAAGATGGAAATAAACAACCAAACCATGAAAATCCAACAAGTCAATACCAAAAAAGATCTAGGGGTAATATTTCAGGATGACTTAAAATTTAATGAGCATATTGCAACCAATGTAAAAAAGAAAGCCAACCGTCTTTTGGGAATGATATGACTAACCTTCAGTGAAGTAAATAAAGACATGTTGTTAAAATTATATAAATCATATCTCTTCCTTCTGTCATCCAAGGAGGATAAACAGGTTTTCTAATCCCTTTACTAGTTTAGTTGCAATGTTGGATGTTTTCAATAACACTTATGTGCCCTATACTTAAGAAAGACATCAGACCAGTTGAATACATCCAACAGAGCGACCAAACTATTTAAGCAATTACAAAACTTCAGCTACCAACAATCCATGTCTTAGTTTACCCTTCTTGGAATACAGAAGGAAGGGATATGATATTATCAAAGTTAACAGGATTCTTGAATTTGAGGTACGAAGTGAAGTACGAAACGGCTCATGTGAGGTACGAATGAACTTAATACGAAACAGCCTGCACCCTTCTGGAAAAATGAGGAAATATAGTTCAACCCAATTACAATTCTACGTAATTTTAGACCAAAATCCTTTTATTTTAATATGACACGTTTAAGTTCAGACATGCGCAAACCATTCAGTACCAGATATAATTAAGGTGGTCAGCAAACCATTGAGGCATAATGGTAGACCGAAGAAAAGGTATAAAAGGGTAGGCCTATAACTATAAATTTGTCAAGTCCTAACTGGTGGTTTGTTTACACGCCATGTGACTTGAATAGTAACATTAATACTCACCATTATTTTATTTGTAAAGTTCTCAGAGTTCTGCTACAGTAAATGGTCGGTTGGTAAGCTGTCCTTTGGCGAGATTCAAAATCTGCTTAAAAAAAAATACGGGAAAACAACGAAGAGAAAAACGTGTCTGTGTTCTTTCCCCAAGTTCATTTCCGTTAGAGAACGGATTGGGGTTGTATAATAAATACGGCCATGGATCTATCTAACGCGAGCAACTCACAAACACGTAACTGAACTTTTAATTTTCGTCTGATGTAAATCAAACAGGAACGGAATTTAACGTTTCACCAATTAGTTTAAAACGTATGATTGCTGTATGCCTGAGTTGATATGATTGCTGAAATACCTGGGTCAATTCCACATTTAATTACAGCTGTCGTTTTCTCATAAACCCCGTTTACATTACAAATTTTAAACGTACCAGGCACCGCACGGTTAGTTTTTTTGTAGTGTAAATGGGTCAAACATAAGCGTGCCATGCCGAGTACCGTACGTGCCAATTTCGCCCACTTAGGTGAGGTGATCTCGGCACGGTGCCAGACATGGCACGGTTAAATTTTGGTAGTGTAAGCGCTGTCCGGTCTGAGCATAGTTTCAGTACGGAATACTGTGCATGCGCCAAATGAACCTTGACCTTTTATCCCGCGACCTTTGACAGGTCTTTTATCAGTTTTGTCAAAATGGCTGCTCAAACTAAATCAATGGCCATAATTGTTTTCATTCGGGTCATTTTAATAGGGACTGAAATTAACTTTTCTGTAAAGAGTTCTACATTTTGCATGCCTGGCACAGTTTGGAGACCGGTTATTTTACAGTAATGTACACAGGCGAATTTCTTGAAATTTCTTGTGGCCTGGTACCGCCCAAGTGACGTGTTAGTGGGGCTGTACATGCCAAATTTACTACAAAATAGTTCTACACTATATACTTGTTTTTGTACGTTACCTGCTGTATCAGCAATATTACTTATATCGTGTGCTGTATCAGCAATGTTACTTATATCGTCTGCTGTATCAGCAATATTACTTATATTGTCTGCTGTATCAGCAATATTATTTATATCGTGTGTAAATGAAAGTGAGAAAACAAAAGACGTTGTCATAATCCCCAGGGACTAACACGCCCTGACAGCAGCCCAGGTTTTCTAATTCTGATACGAACTGGTCGATGAACAGTGAGAACATTACAGGGCTTAAAATAGACCTTGTCGAGTACCTATGCTGCACGGGAACGTTTCAATTAGACCATGTTCCGTTTTTAACACGATTTGCAGTTATGATATACATTCCTTAATATATTTAGGAATTTACCATGGATACCACAGTTTATTGGGCAAGACCACAGATACTCGTGTCTGACGCAATCAAATGCACCAACGGAAGTCAATAAACAAACACTACAAGCAACCGCCTTTTTGGACAAATCTTCACTCTCAAGCTCTCGTAGACTAAATATACTAACGTCCAAAAGAAAGTATACACTGTGCATTTTGTGCTGCATCAACCAAAGTCGTTTTTCCATGGTATACGGTATTAAGGTAGAATGTCAGTTTGTTTCACATTTTTATTTTGCTTAGAAATGTTGAGTTTGGACGCAAGAGACAAACTCAGTAATGCTTTATCAATTGTTTTTAATCTAACCCAAACTTAGTCATACTTTTAGTGTGTATACTTTCTTTTGGACGTCAGTATATGTGATCAGTGGTTCTATATTTCTTTCTGAAATTGTACTGCGTTCATCACACCAATTGCTCAGTAATATGGATGGCAGTGATTTGTGCTAAAGAACATATGTATAATAATATTATGACCTTGATTAATTATTTCCCATAGTTAGCATATTAGTTATTTAAAACGCAAATTAAATTGTTTATAAAATATTGTGAGATAAGAGGAAAGGGGGTCAAAGTTCAAGGATAGATTCTTTGTCACATGATTAATTACATCATAATTAGCCAATAGAATAATTAATGGCTGTGAATCTGAGAATATATAATTAATAGAATGTGCGCCATAGGTTAGACATCATGGAGATTTGACAGAGCAAACACCGTGTAGAAATTCGTTAGGAGAGACCGTTGAGGTTCAAGGGACACCATCTGGTTTCAGAATGTGAAACGGTGACGCCATATCTTATGTGGAGAGCATGCACAATAGACTGGAATAACCAGATGCTAGAAATTGCCATTCCGTTGAGACTCATGCCGTATTTTGCTGGACATAACTGATTTGAAATTAGAGTCAAAACGGAAACAATTGAATGTAGATCAGTTCATATACAATCAGATTACATTATTATAATATTATATGCGTTGGGACCCATTTGGGTCAATTTCTAGGTCCCAAATATTAGAGATTGAGCTCCTTTAAATAATGCATATAAGTGTTAATAACTTAAATAATGCATATAAATTTCATACAGATCGGATGATAACTTTTGTCCACATCGTTCAACAAGGCCCATAACTCTTAGGCGTAATTAATGGAAATTGGCGAAATTCAATAGGCTTCTTCGTTTCATTGATTTAAAGGATGCATATATGTTTCATACTGGTTGGATGATAATTTTTGATGTTAGAGTGTTAACAAGGCCCATAACTCCAGAATAAATTAAATGAAATTATTGAAATTAACTAGGCTTCTTCCTCTCACTAATGTAAACAACATATATCAATTTCAAGATAATCAGATGATAAATGTTCACAGGGGTGTCGGCAATATACGACCACATGTGGCCTTATGTAGACATCCTTTGTATGTAGCACCATGAGTCTTCTGTCTGACGTGGAGAGCGGATTAAGGGAACCGGTCGCCACATCCTACGTAGAACCCATGCATCTTTTCTTACTACATATTTCTGTAGCCTTGTGATTGTCTAGAATTTGTCTCTAGCTGTCTTTACTTCTGCTTCACGTTGTGTATTTACTTCTTACAATAACAATGCAACAGTTCGCTTCTACATTTTATATAGCATAGCCATGGATACAAGCATAATATATAACAATACTAACTAAAACCATTTCTCCACCCTAGCCAGCCTGGCGGCTGTCTAAGAACTCACATGGAAGCTCTCTGGAATCTAATGGAAGTCTGGCTTGAAAGGTTCAAATAGATATCTTATATAGCACCCACGTTTATCACGCAGAAATAAGCGTGTTCATGGCCCTGAACCTGTGCAATTAACGATATGATTGGTTACTTTAAACCAAATGATGCAATTAGAATAATTCCACTCACGTGTAATTCTGGTGGTAAATTATTGACTATGTTTTCAATAAATAGCTCTTTTTATGTGTCAACTGTCAATTACAGACTGAGTTGATTTAAGTATTTTAAGTACATATTATGCTAATATGTTATTTCTCGAGCAAAAATTCTACTAAAAGTATTACATTCGTCCCTTTCTTTAAGACTTTTTGCTCGGTATTGGGTAAAAGATCCCTTGAATCCTTTATAATAACCATACCAACATCTGTGGATTATATAACTATTCATAAATGTAGCAGAAATCTAGAAAATCAACATATATCACCTCCCCCACTTGCAAGATTTATGCTAAATGAACAGGTAGGAGGCTCTTAAAACTTCTATGTGCTAAACCCTATAATTATTCATGCAACAGGCAAATATCAATGATACTATACTATATAACAAAATTATGAAATAAAAACACAAATAATCAAAAATCAAAAGTTGCATGCAAAAGTTCTCCAAAAAGTTCATCACTGTAAAATCCTATGAAAATCCACTAAGCCTAAACACAGAAAACACAAATTGTCTTTTTTAAATCTTCAAGTGTCCTAATTTCAAAACGCATCACATAATATTTATAAAGTTCAGGATTCACTTTAAATTCTGTCTCAGGAAATGTCAATTTGGTAAACTGGTAAACCATTTCTTCTTCTTGGATTTGTATTGGTCTGTTTCAGCTACCATAGTGTCAAGTTGAAACTTTTTTTTTTTCTTCTAATTATGATTGGTTTGTACAATTTTATCCATCAATCAAACATGTCATTGCCATCAGACCAAGAACTAACTATTACTATTTTTTTTTTAAACTTTATGTCTAACATTATTATTAATATATTATTTCGAAAACGTATTAGCAAATCTTACTGTAATTAAAATTAAACTTTATTTAAGTATTTTAAGTACATATCACATATTATGTGAATATGTTATTTCTCGAGCAAAAATTCTACTAAAAGTATTACATGTATCGTTATGCACATTTAATAACTTATAATATAGATCATACTTTATTAATTAATAATATACAAACATCTGGTTTTATTTTCATCTCAAGTTACAGCAATGGCAGGAGAGAGAGAGAAATGGGGTTTAGCGTCCACTCAACACAAACTGGGTCATTTCGGGACTAACATATGGTTTATTTTTATTTCAATAATTTGCTTGCGCGTGGGGGTTTTTAACAGTGGAAGGAAACTATCGCTCTGATGTCGTATTATTACCCCATAAACCATTCTGACATCTGTGATAGACATACAGATGCTGATCAATTTAGGGAATTATATCGTAACCAACATTCAATAACTGATAATCTAGACTTTATTAATTAATCATACAGCTAATAATTAAGTATGTGTATTTTTGACTGCGTAGGATGCGGGACCCAATTATCCCTTTAAAAAATCACGTTCGGGCATTTCTCAACTAAAAATGACATGTAACTACATGGATTATTATGACATTCGGAACATTTAATGTGCAGTAGTTTTATATCCACCATTATCAGTAATTGTATCTGTATGGGCCGATATATTTCTCTGTCAATATCTGATATCAGTAAAACCGATAGTAGCCATATTGGACCATCACTAGTGAGAATGCTTTACTACAAACATCACAATTATATTGATTTTTCTCTAGTATGATTTCTGATGTGCCTCTGTTGGTTTCTACTACGTGTAAATAATTTACTACAAATATCACATTTATAAGGTTTTGCCCCAGTATGAGTTCTCATGTGGCTCTGTAGGCCTCCACTCTGACTAAATGATTTACTACAAACATCACATTCATATGGTTTTTCTCCAGTGTGAATTCTCATATGTAACCGTAGGGTTCTACCACGTGTGAATGATTTACTACAAACATCACATTTAAAAGGTCTTTCACCTGTATGAATACTCGTGTGTATCTGTAGGTTTCTATTAGATGTGAAGGATTCACTACAAACATCACATTTATAAGGTTTTTCACCTGTATGATATCTCATGTGTTGTTGTAGATTACCATTGGTGGTAAATGATTTACTACAAACATCACATTTATAAGGTTTTTCACCTGTATGAATTCTCATATGTGTCTGTAGTTGACTACAATCAGAAAATGATTTACTACAAACATCACATTTATAAGGTTTTTTTCCAGTATGCATTCTGATGTGTCTCTTAAGATGACTTTTATTAGTAAATGATTTACTACAAACATCACAATTAAAAGGTTTTTCACCAGTATGAATTCTGATGTGTTGCCGTAGATTACTACTAGTGATGAATGATTTACTACAAACATCACATTTAAAATGCCTTTCTCCAGTATGAATTCTCATGTGTGACTGTAGAGTGTTACTTTGTGTGAATGATTTATTACAAACATCACATTTAAAAGGTTGTTCACCTGTGTGATTTATCATGTGTATCTGTAGGCTTCTGCCGTGTGTAAATGATTTACTACAAACATCACAATTAAAAGGTTTTTCACCAGTATGAATTTTTATGTGTGACTGTCGATTACTACTAGTGGTGAATGATTTACTACAAACATTGCATTTATAAGGTTTTTTTCCAGTATGTATTCTCATGTGGGTATCCAGATGACCTTTGTTACTAAATGATTTACCACAAATATCACATTTATAAGGTTTTACACCAGTATGAATTCTGATGTGCTTCTGTAGATTACATTTATGAAGAAATGATTTACTACAAACATCACATTTATAAGGTTTTTTTCCAGTGTGCATTCTGAGGTGTCTCTGTAGACACCTACTCTTAGTAAATGATTTACCACAAACATCACATTTATAAGGTTTTTCACCAGTATGAATTCTGATGTGTTGCTGTAGATTAAAGTTTCTAGAAAATGATTTACCACAAACATCACATTTATAAGGTTTTTTTCCTGTTTGATCTTGCTGACTAACATGTATTTCACAGTGTTTTTCTAAATCTGCTTCTAATTTAAATTCTTCATCACACAAATTACACTGATAAACAGTTTCAATATCTTCAGTTTTCTTTTCTTTAATATGACAATATTCACCTACATCATCAGTTTTCTCTTCTATAACATGACAATATTCATCGACATCATCAGTTTTCTCTTCTTTAACATGTACTTTGGAATGTTGTTCTAAATCATCATCACATACAACAAACTGATGGAAAGTTTTAACATTGTTAGTTTCCTGCAATATATAAAATGAAATAGGGTTTAACGTCCTACTGTTCTGCTCTGACTGGACATACACCATACAGTGTACTGTGAGGAAATTTTGCCCAGGCATCGGCACTACGGCCTACTCTTATATCAAATTCCAACTGCCAAGGGATCTTTTACGTGCATTCCAATGTATACACGGGACCTCGGTTTTTTGTATCATCGAAGGACTAGACAGCTGTCCTTGTCAGGTCCTCCGTCCTGCATCACTGACAAGGGGGAACCATGCCGGAAAATCTGGATGAACTTTCTCGGCCAATGCAGGGATCGAAACACCCGACTTCCAGGCTAGCGAGACAACGTCCTACCCACTTAGCCACGTGATCCCCTATTATTAAAAGAGGTGGGTCATTTAGTGGCTGTGTAGTGACGGTTTAGGGGGATTTTATTGTTTGTTAATGACCTTTGTTATTGAATTTGTTATATATTCATGAAATTTGTATTGATTATTTATTGAATAAAGTGATTTATTTTGTTGTTATTCATGTACACGACCGCTTGGTGATAGTCTGCCAATTGATGTAAAGAAAATTATACTCATATAAAACAATATGAAGACACACTAAATTATCCTGATTAAGAAAACTCTCTGTGTCCCTAACATTAAAAAATAATGTCGTGTGGACGACTAAACCAACATATTTCTATATCCTATATCTTGATCAACAGATTTATTGTGTGGACGATTTTTGTATGTAGACGAGTTAACTGCCATTCCAATAACAGACCTTGGGATTTCACACACTTGACCATTGACCCCCACCTCTCCCTACATAGAGAGAAACAACTAACACAATTATGGACATTATTCTATCGCGGCAGGTTCGGTTACAACATTTCTCCCTAACCCGAACCCTAGGAACGTTAATTCCTTGCTTTCTTGCATTTTCTAATGTCTGTGTATCTCTTTGCCAATATGTCACTTTATTCCTAAATTCAAATTGTTTCATCGCTTCTAAATTCAGCACCAACAAGGATGCCTGTAGAGGCCGCCATATTGGAAAAGACCGCTAATAACCATGTGATAAAATTGGCCAATCAGAGACGATATCCGGTTTCGTAGTAAATTTTCGCCAGGAACCGAATCCGGTCGTTTATCCACTTCCAACAATAAAACAAACACTGGACAAACAAATATTCAGAAGCAATTTTGCCTGTTTCCGAAATCTGAATGTGAATTGCACTTGATAGAAATGTTTCCATTAAATGTATTGTTTTTTCAAATAAATCAGTATTTTCTGGCTGTTATGATTGAAGTGAATTTTGGTCATTATAGTTTGGGGCCGTGTTGACCACATCTAAATCTAATCCAACAAGTTAGATGTTACTCTTTGATATTCTGAGGACGTAACATCTAACATCTGAACGGTCAAAAGCTCGTCGCAAAAGTTGATAACGGCAAAATTCACAATTTTCAGTTATCTGCACTGCTAACACATTAAATTTACATATCATATCCATCTATGTTCCAAAAATTATTTTTTGCTGTCTATTTTGAGAGATTTCACAAAAATCTTCGCCTACAAGCATCAAAACACTGTGAAACAGGAAATGACCTACATTGGCGATAGTTGAAATCTGGCATGGTGCATATTACGAACGGAATTCTTTAAACGAAACGAAATCATGAGACTATAATTTGAAGGCGATCATTTTAAATTTATTTTCAGTGATGGTCCGATTATCGGTTTCACTATTCAGTAGCCTAATTGGCCGATGAGTGGCCCATCAGAAGAAATTTTACCGATATTTGCGTAGCCGATATCTGTTCAAAATGACTCGGCAGCCAATAAATCTTTTCATAAAATATTATTCAAATTGTGAACCAAGCATTCTCTTTAGTCTTTACTTAAAATGGCACTCGGCCCTTTTATTTTAGTTGTCATGTGTGTGATACAAGACACAATGCTTTATTATAGATATTTTCAACAATAGAAAAAGCGGGAAAATGTCACGTGACATTGACAAGAGAGAAGCTATCATAATCAATCGGTAGCAATGAAACATTCTCCGAAACGCCGACAAATTTAAGGATTTATATTGTAATGAACATTTAATAACATTTTATAAATAATTATCTCAATCATACTGCCTATGATAGAATTTACCACGGCATAACGGCAAAACTGTCATAAAAAGTAAAAGCTGAAGCAAACAAGGACTGCCACGGTAATAAAAATAGCCCAAATTGCGCTGTTGTCCACGTGTACACGTATCAAAAAGTTATGCCTTTTATATACATGTAGACGTATGAAATGCATAGGTAATAACTTTTCAATATATCATACAGTCGTTCAGGGGCGGCTGGGCTTGGGATTAGGTCAATAATTCAGAAATGCAAGATTAGTTGTAAATAGTGTCCCAAGCCTACCCTTATAGTTCATTTTTATATAAGAATGTTCACTTTCTAAAATAGTGCCCTTATTATAGAAGGTTATGGCAGAGCCGTGGGAAATTTGATGAATCAATTTTAGTTATGGTTGACATGATGGCAACCATTGGGAACACGAATAACTAAAGGATCAAAGGAAAACAAATTTCGATGACTTTATTACTCCAATAGGAATCTGTAAATTTTATACTGATGACAGTACAACCAAACGCAATTAGAACCAGATTAATTGACATGGAAAATAACGGACCGTTTGTCTATCTACAAATATAAAAATTGTACGTTCAGTGACGGAAAATGACAACAGTATATTTGTTAAATATGAAGAAAGGCAGCCGTGCCTTGTCAGCTAATTTTTGCTACGGCATTTATAAATTTTTGGTTCCGTTGTAGAAGAATCCTCATTTCAAGAGCACTGGTCATGATCTAGGCCTACTAATACTGATTAATCATTCAACAAATAATTATTAAGTTCTCAATAGACGTTGTGTATTTTCAACTACGTGTGAAGAGCGACCTAATTATTCTTCAACAAACATCGTCTTCTATCCCGATATAAAACCTCTACAAAATCAGTACATATACGCAATCCATTAAAATATTGTACAAAAATGCATTTCGTTTCGCGTAAAACAGGGATCCTCAAATTTCAGTGCGGAGGATATGACGTCAAAAAAGGTCAAACTATCCCAACATGGCGACTGAAAGAAATGCTGGTGTATGTGATATTGGATAAACATGTTTTACTGAACAACGTTTGTTTGTCATTAAGTGTTATTGTTGTTCAGAGGTGGATAGCACAATAAGGTAGGACATGCATTTAGAATTTATCGACTGACGCCTTTCAGCTCGTGGCTATTTGATGCGCCAATAATTCAGTGGTTCATCGCTCCAAGACGTCTGGGACGGCTTAAAGATCCTGGAGGTTACGTGTGAACGAAACCTCAAGGCACCCTGGAGTAATCTAAATCGGGTCAATTTTAATTGTATCCATGTCATTCGTTTACATGATGTTTGAATAGTAAATACTCACCATTATTTAGTTTGTAAAGTTCTGCTACAGTAAATGATCGGTTGTCTGGTAAGCTGTCCTTTGGCGAGGTTCAAAATCTGTTTTAACATACGGGAAAATAAAGGGAAAACAAGTCTTTGTTCTTTCTCAAGTTCATTTCCGGTAGAGTAGGGATTACGGGTTGTATAATAAATATGGCCCTGGATTTATTCGGTATACAGACAACTCATCCCAAAGACAACTCATCCCAAGACAACTCATCCCAATAAAAGACAACTCATCCCAATATAAAAGACTACTCATCCCAATATAAAAGACTACTCATCCCAACTTTAAAACGGTATATAGACATCCCAAAGACAGAGTCTCAAGTTATAAGACAACTCATCCCAACAAATAAAATATAAGTGCTTGTCTTAATACAATTGCTTTCTTTGAAGACCACTCAGACCAAAACCAATCTGATTTTGTTATCTTAATAAAACTGATATTGTTGTTTTAATCAAATTGATATTGTTGTTGTAATAGATTGATGATTACTGTTTGTATTACTGTTTATAAAATATAAGTGCTTGTCTTAATACAATTGCTTTCTTTGAAGATCACTCAGACCAAAACCAATCTGGTTTTGTTATCTTAATAAAATTGATATTGTCGTTTTAATCAAATTGATATTGTTGTTGTAATAAATTGATGATTACTGTTTTTATTACTGTTTTAGTACTTTGTTGTTTTAACAGATTGGTAGTTGTGTTTTGTTTTATTTTTTCATCATGAAGCACTTCAAAGCACTACAATTCAACAATATTGTATTAAATTCAACAATATTGTATTAAATTCAACAATATTGTATTAATGTTATTTAATGTTATTTTTTTAAATTCAACAATATTGTATCAAATTCAACAATATTGTATTAAATTCAACAATATTGTACTAAATTCAACAATATTGTATTAAATTCAACAATATTTTCAGATATGCAGTGTATCCTAGAGCCCATGTTGTATTAATTATTTCAAATTTCAGATATATCTAGAGCGCAGGATGGTGAAGGAATTGACAATGGTGGCCTTCAAATGTATCGAATGTGCAGCACCTGATGAACCCGCAAGTTTCACTCCACCGAGGGCGGAAAGTACTAGACTGTCTTTGCCTGTAGGCTTGTTTGCCACAGAAAAGCAAATTGAATTACTTTGTCAAGCAAAGACCTGGTATATAGATGGGACTTTTATGATAGTCAACAGACCATTTTATCAACTGTTATCAGTACATGGCTTCTTAAAATCCGGTGACAACATCAAGCAGGTTCCTTTGGCATTTATACTGATGTCAGGAAAGTCTAAAAGAGACTACAAGAAGGTATGTAAATATTTTAAAAAATATTATTAAGACCAGCAGCAAAGACATATTAATGACTTCATAGCAGTGGCATTATTTTTTTTAGCATTTAACATTATTCTTTGCAGGTATTCAAAGGCTATCCTGGATATGCTACCATCAGCCCCAGCAGTACAGGCCTTTGTTGTAGATTTTGAGGCAGGAATCTGGCAAGCCTTAAGATCCGTTTTTAACGATCCTATTATACATGGCTGTGCTTTTCATTGGGGTCAGGTAGTTTGGAGAAAGATTCAAGAAAAGGAACTTCAGGTATGTTAATTTAAGATATTTGAAAAACATATTTATCAAAATGTATTAGTTGATTATGATAAAATAAAATGTATTATTTAATAAATTGTTGATGTAATAAATAATAAAATGTATTATTTAATAAATTGTTGATGTAATAAATGATTCTTATATAAATTGTTGATGTAATAAATTCTTATATAAATTGTTGATGTAATAAATTCTTATATAAATTGTTGATGTAATAAATTGTTGATGTAATAAAGTAATAAATTGTTGATGTAATAAATTGTTGATGTAATAAATTGTTGATGTAATAAATTTTAATATTACTGATTTAATAAATAAAAAAAAAACAATATTAGTTGTGGTATTTATTTGCAACTTGGAATGATTGGGTTTTTTAAAGTTGGGATGAGTAGTCTTTTATATTGGGATGAGTTGTCTTTTATATTGGGATGAGTTGTCTTTTATTGGGATGAGTTGTCTGGCATGAGTTGTCTTTGGGATGAGTTGTCAGGTATTCATTTATTCAACTCGAACGACTCACAAACGTCAAACACAACGCGTAACCTAATAATTTTTAATTTTTGCCAAATGTAAAGGAAAGGAATTTCAGGTCTAACCAACACAATATTGCAATTAGTTTAAAACATATGATTGCTGTAATGGCTGAGTCGATAGATTTCTGCGAATACCTAACAACTCATCCTAAACACATCTCATCCCAAGACGTTGACGTCTCACTAACAAAACATTGCAATTAGTTTAAATTATATGATTGGTGTAATAACTGAGTCGATATGATTGCTGCATTACCTGGGTCAATCCCACATTTAATTAGTTCTGTACGTTTCTCATAGGGTACACTTATTCCAGCTGTTGTTTCTTTCACGTACATGACCAGTTCTACAGGGGTGGGAATTCAGAAAGACAAGTCAACACTACACTTCTGGGTCTTTCATTGGAAGCGGGGTTGATAAATCCCGAGATGAGATCTATCTGTTGTCTACATTAAAGCTATATTACCTTAGATACTATAAAGCTTTATTCCCTTATGGAAGTCGGGAGTCCAGAGCCATGACTACTTGTAGCTCCTTTAAAGCTATATTACCCTAGCTACTTTAAAGCTATATTACCTTAGCCCTGTTAAAGCTATATTACCTTAGATACTTTAAAGCTATATTACCATAGATACGTTAAAGCTATATTACCATAGATACGTTAAAGCTATATTCCCCATGGCTACTTATAGCCCCTTTAAAGCTATATTACCTTAGCCCTGTTAAAGCTATATTACCCTAGCTACTTTAAAGCTATATTACCTTAGCCATGTTAAAGTTATATTACCTTAGCCCTGTTAAAGCTATATTACCTTAGCCCTGTTAAAGCTATATTACCTTAGCCCTGTTAAAGCTATATTAACAAAGCTCCTTTATAGCTATATAACCTAATGCTTTTAAAGCTACATTACCCTAGCTACTTCAAAGTCATATTACCATAGATACTTTAAATAAATTTAAGCTTTTGTTGTTTAGGGCGTTGAGCAGTCATAAATGCACATTTTAAAGCTTGCACTTTAATTTTTGTTGATAAGATATGAAATGTTTTCTTATTTGGGGTGATAAACTACATATTAATGACCAAAAAAATACCAATTTCATTTACGAACTATGTTCCAAACCTGGCCCCTAAGCATGATAATAAAGGGTGCTGATGAAAACAAACGTCAAAATTTCTCAGTTATGTCTGCCTGGATTTTCACCATATTTGTATGAGCAATATGCTAATTGTCAGTCAAAAAAAAGTACGACATTTTTTGGCTATAGGCTGTGGTCTGTCTGGTATCTATGGAAACGCAAAAATAAAACGATCAGTTTTCTTGTAAATTCTATTTGTACATGCTAAAAAGAGATATCGATAATCACTCCAAAATCGTGCTGTACGAATTGTGATTAAAGCTAGATGAAAATCATACATCCCTCCCATCTTTAATAATCTTCACTGGCTTCAAGTGCGTGAGAGAAATAACTTTAAAATTTTAACTCTGACATACAAAACATTAAATAAAACAGCACCAAGATATCTTCAGAATCTCTTGACACACTACCAACGAAACAGGTCACTGAGATCAGAGAATAAATGATTGTTAGATGTACCGGTTTATAAGATGAAGAAATTTGGTTCAAAGACTTTTCAGTATAATGCATCAATTCTAAGGAATTTGATACCACCTTCCATTCGAAAATGTGAAGCATTGTCTATCTTCAAATCAACTGTGAAAACCTGGCTGTTTAGGCACTATAACTAACCCATGGAAACACTTTCATGGGCCTAGAGCATCCCCAAGTGGGATGAATTGTTGCACAATATAAATTTCGTTATTATTAGATAGAAAGTAGCGGTTATATGCAACATTTTGACACATCTTTTAATATTTTTGTTGATTATTTACATTCAAACAAGATTTTGTGATTTGGGGTTAATTCTTTGAATACTTCCACAAGTTTTGAAATAAAATTTGTGTTATGCATTCAAAAAATAGTAATCTTTGACCCTCAAATTTTTTTTATTTTAGGCAGGTTCCATTCGTGATAGATAAGTAGACCTGGATAATCACATCTTAAAGGGAATTCCTTCAGGTCCTGCGTTCACTAACTATTCTCAGACTTAAGTTAAGAATTTACTCAACTTTCAATCATTGTCTTTGAGAAATATCTTTGATCCAGAAACACAAAACTTTGCAGTCTCTTTAGGCGAAAGACCGAAGCAATTTATCGTTCAAGTTCGTTGCAACAACCTCTGTGGGAGATTTTAATTATTTAAATTACACGTCTCTTTTTACTAATTTAAAAACCATGATCTCCACACATTCGGCATGTGCCAGTATTTAATAATTATTTTTTAAAAATGGAATTCTTTTTAACCTAATCACCTAAAAAATAAACATTACACACGTAGGAATACACGCGAAGTTTGTTGCCGAGTGCCATTTTGGCCAATCAAAATAAAGAAAACTTTTAGCTCCGATCCTTCAATCATGGCGTACATAGTCAACAAGGACACATTTTTCTGGCATTCTGACCAGAAAAATGAAGTGCCTTATTCATCAGAATGCAACACAGCCCTGCAAGTTACTGGTTTTTAACGGCAACACCTGAAGGCATTGTGTGGAATATTCAAAACAGTGGCAGACTTTGGATGGAGAAGAAAAAAAACATTGCAATCACGTATCGAGATGTGTTCGAAGGTATGTATGTTTAATGTTATTATTAGTTATTTTATTATTATTATTTTCTTAGTCTTAGTATTTAAATTTTTTCTAGGCTGTGAGTGTTCACGTGGGTTGTTGTTAAAAATATATATAAAGTACTTGTTCACAATACATGGTATCACGCAAACCAGTGGTGGGCAAGTTTTCAAACAAAACTGAAGCCTAAACTGGTGAAGGGCAAAACATTTTTATGAAACATAACTAACAAATTACATTAGTCATTAATTACAATGTCAAGGGTTATGAA